TATGGAACTTGTGATTGTCCTGCCTTGGCCATCTGAGTGTTGGAACTACAGGCATGTGCCACTATGCTCAACAATAAATTTGTGCACCAGTAGGCCCAGCTAACAGTTGTGATTTTTTAAAAAATACCGTATAATGAACCAAATGGCACATGCCTGTAAATCTAGCTACTCTTGAGGCTCTCGGGGATTGCAAATCTGAGGTCAGTCTGGGCAATTCAGTGAGACCCTGCCTCAAAATAAAAGCTAGAAAAACAGCTGGAGTATAACTCGGTGCTCTCAAGGTTTAGTTCCCGGTACTGGGGGAAAAAAATAACAAATCACATAACAAAATGTGTCAACATTTAACAGATCAGCATAATTTGGTGACTCAGTATTGTCCAGATGACCAACAAACAACGTCATAAAGCCATTTATGTGAAAGATCCATTTGAAGTTAAAGATGGATGAGTGGGATGTCATGTAAACAAGTAGGAAGAAGTCATCAATAGGGATTCAGATTCTACCTTGCTACCAACTTTTAAGAAACTAGCATTCATTGCTGGGTGTGGTGGTACACTGCTGTAATCCCAGCCACCTGTTAGGCTGAGGTAGGGGGATTGCAAATTCAAGCCCAGCCTGAGCAATTTAGCATCACCCTGTCACTAAATAAAATGCCCTGGAGATTTAGGTCAGTGCTTCTTGGGTTCAACCCCTAGCGCCACAAAAAGAAAAAAAAAAAAAAAGGAAGGATCTACCAGTTGTTGAATCTTGAGGTAGTGTTTTTTGTTTGGTTTATGATTTCCTTTTTTGTGCTATTGAGGATTGAACCCAAGGCCTTGCTCACTGAGCCACACCTCCTGTCTCGTGATATAGTATGGCGAAAGTCTTTCTTTTCCAACTGCTTATCTGTGTGGAGGTAGAAGAGACTCTGCCTGCTTCTTTTTAAGCCAGACATTAAACAGGTTTGCAAAAATGTAAAACAATGTCACCATTTCATTAAGGTTTTTTTTGTTTTTTAATAGTACTGGAGGTCAAACTCATGACCTCATGCTTGCCAGGCAGGTGCTTGTGCCACTGAGCTATATCCCCAGCCCTGAGTTTTTGTTTGTTTTAGGAAACAGGTTTTTTTTCCCCATAAAAATGTCATCTTAGCATGTAGTGAGTTTATTGTTTTTTTTTTCAATAATGAAATGAAATTCAGATTTCTAGGGCCTAATTTCTAATACATAATTGCTAGTGGGTATAATTCACATGATCAAAAGCACTTTGGAACACTCAGTAATTTTTTGGTAAAATGGAGTCCAGAGACCTAAAATGATCTGGCTCAAAGCATTAATTTTAAATACATACCTGCTGCAGTGGACATAGCTATAATTCCAGCACTCAGGAGGCTGAGACAGGAGGATCTTTGTGAGTTTGAGACCAGCCTGGGTTACATAGTGAGACCCTGTCTCAACAGAACAAAATTGAACTAAACTAACTATATAGTAAGAGTCATTGGAATAAAGAATGGATTTCAAATTAAAAAAAAATTGGGAGACGATGATGAGAATGTTTCAGAGAGATGGCACTGTATTGAATCCTATTTTTTTTTTTTTCTGAGACAGGGTCTCATTACATAGCATGGGCTGGCCTTGAACTCACTAGGTAGCCCAAGCTGACCTAAAACATAGCTGTAGCAGTTCTCCTCCCTCAGCTTCCCAAGTGCTGAGATTCCAGGCATGTGCCGCCGTGCTTAGCTGACCCCTAGTTTTTTGAGACAGGGGCTCACTGTGTTGGCCAGGATAGCCCCATACTCCTGGGTTTAGGTGGTCCTCCTATGGTCTCTCTATTTAAAAAATAACACATATTCCTTGTAGAAGGTTTATAAGGTATAAGAGAATGCATATTAGAATAGAAATATCATCTGTATTCTAACCATCTGGAGATAAGCACTACTAATTTGATTTGTTAGGTTAAACTTCTGTTTGATAGGGGGAAAGTTAAGAAATTGAAAAGACACTGAAAGCCAGGCAGGCTGGCACACTCTTGTAATCCCAGCACTGGGGAGACTGAGGCAAGAGGATCACTGCAAGTTCAAGACCAGCCTGGGCTGCAAGTAAGTCCAAGGCCAGCCTGAGCTGCATAGTGAGACCCTGTCTCAAAAAGACAAAATAAAATAATTGACTTTGATCAGCAGCTGACCATAGTGATTGCCAGTCTCTGCCAGTGTGAGGTTACCCTTACTCTCTTTATAATTATTATTTTTGAATGGAACATTTTGAAACTACATAAATATCCCATTTGGTATCAGATTTTCAATTCATTTTATTAAAAAAAATTCAGAATGTTCTATTTTATCCTGTGGTTTAAAATTTGCCACTGTCATTATTTTGATACTGGCACTATCCCAGATTTTAATCTGTGAAGGGACCTTCATTTCATGCTGACTTCTGTGTCCTTTTAACTTCCTTGCACTTTGTTCTTTTTTTTTTTTTGGTATCAGGGTTCGAACTCATGACCTCGAGCTTGCCAGGCAGGTGCTTAAGCCACTGAGCTAAATTCCCAGCCCCTCTTCCTTGCATTTTGACACAAGTAGTAGTTTAACTTAATTTACTAATAACCACATTAGTGCTTTTGTCTTTATGGTAATATTCTAGAGTACACACACACACAGTCTTTTTTTTTTTTAAGTTAGGGTTTCACTATGCAGTTCTAGACTGAACTCACTCTGTAGCCTAGCCTGGTCTCGAATTCACAGTGATCCTTCTGTCTCAGCTGCCCAAGTACTGGAATTATAGGTGTGAGCCACTATACCGAGTTTTGCTCTGGAATATTGGTTATCTGAATATAACATTTTCGTAGTTTTTGAATACAACACCAGTTAACCTCATCTAACCAAGGATATCTAACCTCAGAAGGGCCCTTTCTTTAGAAAAAAATAACTTCCATATTTACTGCAACTGTTTTCTATCATGTATCAACTCTAATAATCAAAGTGAGACCAGGCATCCTAACTCCATAGTCTCATCCTCAAATATGACACTATACTGCATTCAGCCAGAAAATTAAAACAACTACTTCTTTTAGCAATTCATGAGTAAGGCAAGAAAGAGACAAGTAAATAGTTATGAAATAATTATGCTTAATATGATAAATAACTGAGAAGAGTTATGCATGACTGTGAGGGTACAGAGGGAAGACTTTTGTTTAATTTTTAAAGTTATTTAAAAGAAAAAACAAAATAGAAAAAGGGTAGAAATATTACATAAGTTCAAAGAAAAGATAAACAGTAAGAAGTCATTAGTTGATAATTACAGACTGTCCTCTTACAAATAGTTGTTCAAGTTACAAAAGTGAAATATACAAAGTGGACATTCAGACAGCGAGATTGCAAACAGTTCTGTTCAACTATCCAACAAAAACTTAGTAATGTGGTCAACAATCCTATACACTCAAAACAAAGCAGGTTAAAAATCACAAAGAATAATGGTATTGCTGGATTTCACATCATGACACTGTGGGCTCAGCCCTGGGTACTGTAGTGTCTTTTTTTCTTCAAAGTAGCTGTTCATTAGCGTTACAAGATCAGTTCTCATAAACTGTTCATAGGTTCTACGCATGTATGGGTCTCTACATGTATTTCTATCCTTTCTATATTAGAGGGAGAAACAAAACAAAGCAAGATAAAACAAAACATACTCCTGTAAAAACATGAAACGAAAAAATCATATAAAACCACAGTACAAGGTGATCTACAATGGTTACCATGTTGTCTCTTGTTACCTTCAATAGACTTGTCTATATCATTAGGCATAGTATAATTGAATATAGCATAACAATATTAATAAAAACAAAACATTGTAGCTAGTGTAAAACTTCAAAAACAGGTAGTAATCAAACCAGAATGGGTATCTTGTCATCTTCAGTATAGTTGCCTATACTCTCAGACTTGATACTATCAATCCTAACAGTTTTGAATAAAATCTGTCAATACCAAACAGCCATCTGACAAACCAGATTCAACTAAGATCGATCATGGTAAAACAATATAAGTAATACAGGGCTTCAGATTAAGATAATAGGAAATTAAGGATAATTACTATACTAAATCTGATGTACCTTATTTTTGGATACCTGTCTGTGTCTGCAGATCTAGTGCAAGTAGACAAACTGGACAGAATATAATCTATCTAAACAGAGCAGTATGAGTAATGTGGGTTTTAAATCCTGATACACAATTTTTTTTTTTTTTTTTTGTCTTTTTCCTTTTTATCAGTACCAGGGATCGAACCCAGGACTGCCTACTTGCAACGCAGGCGCTTATGCCACTGAGCTAAATCCCCAGCCCCTTCCTGATACACTATTAACAATATCTTCTGCCTTCTTTTTTTAGACTATTCCTCCCCTTTCACTCCCACAGGGTGCGCTGTGCATTTTTGGGTCCCACCAACTCCCTCAGTTTTTAGATGGGGGGCGGGGGAGCAACCTACTATTTACCTAAGTGATTCCAAACCTTTTCACTTCTGGACTTGATCTCAAGTTGTATTGCTTTACCTACAAAACCTGGGAAGACTTATAATTTTGTTGTAGACATACATGTGTAGCAAATCCTTTTCTGTCTTTTCTTCAACAAATGAACAGATGGTAGAGCTAAAAATTATGTTTCGGTTTTCTTAATTCTCCTGGGTTTCTATGACAGTGTTTTCTGCTTCTGCCCCCTCTTTTCCCCTCCTTTCCCTCACATTCCCTTCCTTTCGCCCTCTTCCTCCTCTTTTTCTTCCTTCTCCTTCCTTTGACGACTCCTCCTTTTTTATTTTGGTGGTATGGGATCAAACCCAAGGCCTTGTGCATGCTTGGCTTATGCTCTACTGTTTTTGATCATTGATTCCTACTGATAAAGCTGCAATTTTTTTTTTAAACCATACAAAAGACTTGTACTGTAAATTTATGTAATAAGTAAGCATCAGGATTCATTAACTGTATTCATCCTAGAAAAATAACACGTTCGAAATATCTAGTAAATTTTAATATTTTCACAGGTGCTGGAGAAAATTTGGAGAATACAATGGCAGCTTTTCAGCAGTAAGTACAGTATATGAATAGATACTCTTCCTTGGTTAAAGAGATAATGATTCACAAATGGAGGACAGTATAGATGTAGCATCCACTTCTAGTCTTTTATAAAATGGTAATTGCTTTCTTCATTTAATTAGCCTGAAGTGTCACGAAGTGTTTGGCTTCTGTATTGCTGAAAACTAGACGAGAGTTTGGGTAATCAAAAGATATCATAGTTCCAAAGCTGAAAGAAGATCTTAGTTATAAAGCATGTATTATGTATAATGCTAATTAGTCTTGGAGAGAAAGAACAAATGAAACAACTATTATACTGACCACTGTTTATAACTAGGATTATGTTTCTTTGTCCACAGTAATGTTTGTTTAGACCTGAGCCTTCAAACTGTTTTCTTTTTGGAACTCTCGTGAGTGTGTTAGTGTTATTTTTTAATAATGTCAGCTTTTCCTATTTATAATTGGATACTTCATACAGTTGTCTTTTAGAGCACTTGGCAGAGAAGCAGCAGGAGAGACAGGAGTGAAAGCTGATTGGTACTGTTGTTCTTTGTCTGAGAGTCAGTAGCCATCATCAGTCTATTGTAATGGTGAGAACAGTGTTTGTTTCCCTGAAAGACAGGGAATGTAAAAAGTAAAACCCAAGAAAAGATAATTTTGAGGGGTTCTGTTTTGTTTTTGCTTTTATGTTTTTGAGTTGGTTGCTTGTTTATTTGTTTGTTTGAGATAGGGTATCACTATGCAGGCTGACCTTGAACTCACTTTGTAGTGCAGGCTAGTCTCGAATTCATAACAATCCTCCTGGCTCAAGAGTTTGCTTTGTTTTTGTTGTTTTTAAATTGGGATCTTGTTATACTACCTGGCCTGATCTCTAATTCTTGAGCCACTTTTAAGTACATTATTGAGAGGAGGAAATCAGGAGCTCTTTTTTGTTTTGTTTTTCTTGGTGCTAGGGTTTGAACCCAGGGCTTGTGCGTATTAAACAGGTTGCTTTTCCTGTGAGCTCTTCTTGTGAGTAGCCCAAGAAAACTTGATCTAAGTCTTTATTCTACTTTCAAACAATCTGATACTTTAGGATTATTTTTCCTGTTATCGGGTCCAATGGTACTGTTTCTTCAGTCTAGTTTCATCTGAATCCTGTCCTCCATGTATGTGTTGTCTCTTACTTTTCCTATTGAGGATGATCTCAAAAATTTTAAAAGTGCAGAAACTTTCTGTCACAGACGGAAAGTGGATATTTGCATTTAAATTACACTGTTATTCTCTTTACTTAGATTGTAACCTGCCAAGTTAGCTGTAGTTAAATATAGATAAATAATTTTATGTGTACAATTTCCAGTGAGATACACAGAAAAACACATGCTGTTACTTTTGCCTGGGACACAGGTGATGTAAATAATTTAGGAGAAACTGCGCATAATTTTGAGGGATTTTTAGTATTTTTTGTGTGTATGTTTGAAGCACATTATTTTTGAGGCTTTTCTTTATATTCTTTTAAAAATGTCTACCAGTCACGTTTATTTATGAAATTGCAAATTACCAAATGTGGTGGCACACACCTATAATTGCGCACTCCCAAAGCCAAGGCAGGAGGATCACTGTCAGTTCAAGCCTGGCCTGATCTACATAGTGAGACCCTGTCTCAAAAACCAACTCCCTCAAAATAAAAACCAATAAAATGGTGGAATTATTTCTAGGGTTAATACATTTGAAAATATCACAATTTTTTTTTACTCTCTATTAAAGATTCTAATCCTCAAATATTTTTGATATTCGAAGGATATATAATTTAGTTTTTGTTTGTAATATACTGTTACATTTCTCATCTTCAACAGCTTTTATACAATTTTGTTGCGCGAAGGATATAGCTTAGCGGCACAATGCCTGCCTAGCAGTGCAAGGTCCTGTGTTCGATTCCCAGTACTGAAAAACAAAGCAAAACAATTTTGTTTAGAGAATAACTATTGAAAAGTTGTTGAAAACAACTTTGCCTGTCACATGGTAACCATATGTATATATATAATTTTTGTAGTGTTAAAGGTTGGATCCAGGAGCTCATGCATGTGTCCCCATGCAATCTCTTACTTTTTCTTTAGAAGTTTTTAGGGTAGTTCAATAGAAAAAAGCAACTCTCTCACATTTTATTGTTAATATTATTAGATATATTTATTTGCATTAGTAAGATTTTCATCACCGTGACCAATTACCTGAAAAAAACAGAAACCAAAACCCAAAGGAGGAAAGGTTTATTTGGTTCACAGTCTCAGAGGTTTCAGTGGGGAGGCAGCATCCAGTGGGCAGCATTGGTGGAAGCCGTGATGGACCAGAGTGGCTCACCTCCTGGTGCAGGAAGACATGGGGGTGGTGCGCGGCAAGCTGTCCTCCATAGGCTCACTCTCAGTGACCGCCCCTTCCACTAAACCTGCTCAGCTAGGAATTCACCCCTGCATCAACCCACCTGATGAAATTAGAGCCCTCCTGAACCCACTCAGGTCCTCAGAGCCCATCAGATACCAACCAAGCCTTCAACAGAAGTTTTGAGCTGCATGTTAGCTGGCCAACACTTTTTGTGTGTGTGGAGGGGAGGCAGGGTCTCTCTATTGCAGCTCATGCAAGAGGGTCACAAGTTTGAGGCTAGTCTGAGCAATTTAGTGAGACCCTGTGTGAAAACACCAAAAAGAAAATAAAAAGTTACATGTACATTTTAGAAAGCATATATATCATGGTGGTGAATATAAGAAAATATTAAAGTGCATAGGTAGTTGGTGTGAGGTTTAGATTAACTAGAAAATTGAAAACTGCTAATACTAGAAAAGCTTCATTTGGAGTCTTGGTACGGTGGTACACACCTGTAATCCCAGCAATAGGGAGGCAGAGGCAGGAGTATTTTTGGGAGTTGGAGACCAGCCTGTGCTACAAAGTGAGCTCAAAGACAAAACAAACAAACAAACAAAAAAAGCTATCATTTGGAAAAGAGGAAAAAACTATCTTTAAAATTTTTGTTTATTTGGTTTTCTGAGGCAGGGTCTTACGTCTGTAACCCAAGCTGGCTTAAAGTCATGATAGTCCTGCTGCAGCCTCAGTGCTGGGATTACCAGGTGTGAGTCAACATGCCTGGTTTACTTGATTCATTTGTTTATTTATGGTGCTGGGTGAGGAAGATGAGGCCCTAGAGTAGGGCCTTTCGCATGCTAGGCAAACACTCTACCACTAAGATGCACTCCCAGTCCAAGAAGAATCTATTTTAAAAGTATAAAATATTGAGATTAAGATGTGATGGTCAGGGGACAGGAAATTGAAAGGACGTTAGGGATGTGTAGGAAGTTAATTCATTATGTTATAATGGACTAGAGAAGTAAGTTTATAAAATGTCTTTCCATGTGGTTTATAAAATGCTCCCACAAGCACCACCTCCCTCAGTTATGAATACGACTCTTCTGTGGTTTCCTTCTGAGCAGGAATCTTTTTCTCATTGATCTCTCCACTTCCTAACATCTTGTTGGGGCTCTGACACTAAGGGGCTTTCACTGGTTTCCTCTTAAATGAGATATGGACCTGTACTTTCAAAGAACAAAGCCAGTGGGGTGTGCTAGTGAAATTTTAGCAAGGCCTGGTCTCAAATTAGAATTTTTTTGGAGGGTTGGGAGTGGAACACAGTACTATCTGGGTTCAATCTCCAGTACTTCGCAAAAAGAAAAAGAAGAGAAAAAAAGATACAAAACACCCAGATACCCTTTTATAGTAAGCATAAAATCCTAAACTAAGAAATTGGACTGCGTCTCTGTGCATGTAGTGTGTAAGCCCTTAGGTAAGTCAAATCTGGTTCTTAAAGGCTAATAAAATTAGGTTGTTAAACTAGGGCGCCTTTGTAAATACTCACAGGACTGTGTGATCCCTGTGGTACTAACATGAATGGTCGGAGAAAGACGCAAATTGTATTAGCAAAAGCTGGAAGTTGGCAGACAGTCAAAGTCATTAATCAGTGCCCTGGTTTTCAGATCTAATTACTGCAGTATTAATGATCTCATCTATGAAATGGGAACAGTAATACAATCTCAGTGATGTGAGGAGTAAGTAAAATGCAATTCAGTTGCTTAACATAGACTACATTGTAAGTTGTTATGCGTTGTTTTGGTGGAGTTTTTTCCACATCTACTTTTTAAGCTAGAGTTTTTATTTCTTTCACTGAAATATTGAAACCTTGGCTTCCCTAATTTTTGTCTTGTGTTTGTCATCAGCTTGTTAGAAATTCAACTACAAAATAGGTGGTGTTTCAGTTGATGTAAGTACTGTGTGTGTGTGTGAGGATTGAACCCAAGGCCTTTATACTGATCTATGTCCCCAGCCACCACACCCAGCCCCTTTTACCTTTTAGTTTTTTTGAGACAGGGTCTTGCTAACTTGCCCAGGCTGGACTTGAACTTGCTGTCCTTCCTTCAACCTCTCAAATTGCTGGGATTACAGGTATGTGGCACCACACCTGTTTTTTTTGTGTGTGGTTTTTTTTTTTTTTTTTTTTTTTTTTTAATAGTCTCATTATGCACTCGTGCTGGGCCTGAATTTTTTTTTTTTTTTTTTTTGTCTTTTTGAGACAGGGTCTCACTATGCAGTTCAGGCTGGCCTTGAGCTCACTTTGTAGCCCAGGCTGGACTCGAACTCACAGCAATCCTCCTGCCTCAGCCTCTTGAGTGCTGGGATTACTGGCATATGCAACCAAACCTGACCTTTTTTTCTTTTCTGTTTAATTCGCTGTATAACTTCAGATGTTCTGCCTTCAATTTCACTTCAGCTTCATTGAGCCAGCTATGGAAGCCTTCTATTGCATTTTTAATTCAGCCATTGTATTCATTATCCCTGGGATTTCTATTTTTTAAATTTTTATTTCATTGACGAACTTCTTGTTTTGTTCATTTATTGATTTTTCAAATTTTATTTTATTTATTTTATTTATTTTTTGCAACAGAGTCTTGCTATGTGGCCCAGGCTGTTTTGTTGGCTTTTTTATGATACAG